GTTCAAAAGCCCCTTATGAATAGACCAAGATCTAGTCCCGTGACGTCGCCCGGCATGGCGCAGCCGGGGCCCCACCCTGGAGCCAGGCCCGGGGTTGGGGCTCGAATGCGAGCGCCTGGTGGCCGGGCCTCCCCCCACGGGGCCCGGCCGGGCTTAGCCCGAACGAGTGACGTGGGGACGTCCTCCTGTGGGCTCACCACCTGCAGGAGGATCCGTAAGGGGCCGGTGCACAGTGGATTGGGCAGCAGTCGAAGGCAGGGGCCCCGACGACCCGATCTCTGGACACGGAGACTAGCCCTGGGGACATGGAATGTCACCTCGCTGGTGGGGAAGGAGCCCGAGCTTGTGCAGGAGGTTGAGAGGTACCGGCTAGATATAGTTGGGCTCACCTCCACGCACAGCTTGGGCTCTGGAACTTTACTCCTCGAGAGAGACTGGACTCTCTACTACTCAGGATTTGGCAATATATGTCAAATTGATGTATTGGCAAATATATACTACTGATAAATAGTATCAGCATAAAGTATCGGCTCGATAAGTAGCAAGAATTATTTGTTTACTTTTTCATTTTGAAATTTTTCCACTCAGGACATAACTGGGTCACATGGCTTTAATAACACAATTTAACAGATTTTTATCAGGAATGTTTGTTTGTTTGTTAAATAATAGCCACTATATTGTGATCAGAGTTTTTAAAATGACCAACTTTTGTTATCGGTCTCAAAAAATCAGCCAGGTCATTTGTGAACCAAATCGTTTCTTTGAGGTAAAACAAAGGTAGTGGACCAATAAATAAACTATGTAGTTTGAATTATTGTTAACTTATAGCAAATAGCAATTTGGTGCAGCCAAATGAATTATTGTTAACCCTTAGCAAATAGCAATTTGGTGCAGCCAAATGATACTAAGTTAGTGTAAATAATTTAGACCAACCTTAGCTCTCATGCCCAACATGTAATGCTGTTTTATAGTTGTACAACTAAATACCAACAAGGACATCCGGCAAATATGAAATGTCTGATAGTGTCTTATTGCCATAATATTTTATGAGGTCATCTGCAAGGAAACTTTTTGTCTCCCAACAGTTTGTCTGAATAAATGCCTCACTGTCAATTGTTGGACCAAAAATATAGGGTCACAGTATAAAACAGCTTTTAGTCTGTAGACTGTAAAGTCCACCCATAAAACAGACATTGTTTATAGACCATGTATTTATACAGATAAGTACATGTTTCTGTGGTTACTGCTACCAGGTTAAAGCTGTGTGCATCTACAGTACATACAGCAATGAGTCAAGGATACATTGACTTTGAGAGGTTTTCTCCTGCTTCATATCTATACATGCACATAGACTGTGCAGTGTATGATTGTGAGCAATGAGTCAGTTACTGTCAGTTCAAACAGAGGTTGTACACTGTAGACTGGTTTCCCATCTACAATAGAGGATGCGTATTCAGCAGGGAGGTAGAAAACTCAGGAAACAATTTCATTATCATTCATATATAGCCCTTTAATTAGAAATAAAGCATTTTAATTGAAACTAGGAAAAGTAATTTTTTGTCATGACATTTCTTCAACTTTTTTACTGCATGCCTCATGTGGATGGATGTCATTTGGCTCAAGCCACCGTTTGTTCTCATGACACATGGATCTCTAGTCAATAGCAGTGATAACACTAACCAAGGCTACGCAGTTAGTTTTTACAAGTAGCTTTTGAATTTCTTGTAGATTCAGTTGTGCATCCAGTTTTCATTTTTATGAAACTGAACTGACAGTAAGGTGGAGCTAGTCCTGTAAATGTTGACGTGTTGACAACATGTGGTTTCTCCAAAGATAAACATGTTAAAACTTGACCAAACCGAAAATGTGCTAATTACAAAGCCATGATGGAAACAAGAAGCAACATGCTGAGGCCCCAGAGATAGAAATTGTGTAGTTACTTTCAAACAAGTGAGAAGTAATATATAGTAAATTACAAAATGAAGAGATCAACTGTTTGATGACTTGAACTCGGACTCCTAGCACATGGTTACTGGCAATAAAGTAAAGAGGACTGTCCCTCTGCCAGAGAGACTGGATTTTTTTCTGCAGGTATAGTATGTTGGAACTCGATGTTTTTACCTGAGACATAAAATATTCAATCCTATAGTTTGTTTGCTGCATTAAACTGAAGGCTATTAACATAAATATTTAAACATTACAAGGCTTAAGATGTGCAAATGTTGAATGAATAAAATCCTCCAAACGTTGGCCCTGACTGTCAGAAACGCTGCTTATCTCTGTTGCCTCTGGATGCTGCACCATGACGTGCTCACATTTTGTGTTTCTACCTGGCTCCGTGCAGACAGGACAGCACTCCCCAGCAGGGGTGAAGGGGAAGTGGCACTGCACAGTGGGACAGGTGATCTCATCACAAACCACCCGTCCTCCGGTACACAGACAAGTCATACAGGGCTTTGGAGACCAGACGGCCTGGTTGAACATGGTCAGACCCTGGTACACACACTGGCCCTGCTTACCTGGAACAGCACAGACATATTGCAGACAGTTTTGTAGCTGATCATACTTTACATTCTTTTAAGTGACACTGTCAATGGAGTAAAAGTCATTTGTCAACTACTAAATTTTAGCAGTTACCCCAGTTTTCAACATAAATCTTTTATAAGCTTGAAATGGAAAAGCATCAGCAGTATGGCAGTGAGGGTCACAATGGATAAAATCCTAAACATAACTCTCTTAAAGATTTTCATACTATCTCAAACTGATATGAACAGTGGACACACACACGGTTTTAGTCATAAAGGGCGCTTAATGATTTCTGTGCCCGTATGTCCACTACGGTCCAGTGACAAATTTTGTAATCTTCCCAGGAATGTGAGGGTCAGGGCAGACTGTGTGGACATCCGAGTGCAGACCAAAAATGTGTCCACAGACAGCAAAGACGCTCTGATAGTGCATGTCACAGAATGTCAGAATGTACATGGACAGAAGGCTGAAGTACAAATTGGGCCATGTGATCACCCACCTGTCAATGTCTGGACAAGGGTATGCAGAAAGTATGAACTGACCTAATATACTGGGTATCCACCTTGTCACTAACTTTAAAGTGTCAACTGAAGCAGCAACAGTAATAATTTAGTATTTTTGTGTCAGAAGTTGTTTTTGCTGTTTATTGACTTACAACAACCCGTACAGCCATCTTGGCACACATGATGTGGACAGTGATTCAGAAATCCAGAACAAGCCAAATTCAGACTGTCACAACTTCAGCCTAACATGGCGACCGTTGTCATCCTCAGTAGCAGCAGGCCCTGCTGCAGTAATTGCTGTGTGCATCTAGTCTAATCTAAAGCCTGTACTTTACCATCAGAACCAGACAAAGCAGTGATTTGTATAGTTTCCACTCCTCCCTCTGCATTAACTTTACCTTTCAACACCATACCTGTGACAAGACAAGGCTGCGAGTGGCAGTGAGTCAGTAAAAACCACTATGATACAGCAGGAAGAGGCTCTTTGTGTCTATTTTAAGTCTGTTCTGTCTGTCATCTATTCTTTCTAATAATATGCTCTTTACCAAGTCTATAGGAACACAGGTAGTTAAGAGGCTCAGGTTATTGCTTTAAATTATCTATGTCTGTTTTCTTGTGAACAATGAGACTCTCACCCTGTTATCTGTACTGGAGCATACATATTTTAGAGCTTTTCTTTTCTCTTTAAAATATTGTCTTGCTGTCATGGCTCTTGCTCTTTATTGTCTAGTTAATTGCAGGGCTTTGTTTAAATACTACAGCTACCATCAGACTATAGTGTGGCACATTAATTCTAAGCTGTTCAGTACATTTATCCATGTGTTTTTACCACATGTGAAACAATTGTTTATTGACAATGAATCTAACAGTTTTGCTAAGAAATTAGAAACATTGATTCTTTGTTTTTGACTTCTTCAGTGTGGTGATTTGCTGCTTTTCTATGTTATTGTCATCGTAAACGGAATCTCCTTGAGTCTTACGTTGTTGATCAGACAAAACAAGACATGAAGATGCCTTTTGTAAAATACTGTGCGCACAATATTAGATAATATAACTTAAAAGTAAATAATTTGATCTTGGGGGAAAATGTTTTTAAACTTAGCAAAGGTATAAAAGTTAGCATCTTGATCATGACCATGCTAGGTCACTATATATTACAAAACAAACACACTAGATGCTAACACATCCAGAAGGAAGAATGGCACAGCTGAATCAGATTTGACTCCTTTGACTGCTTTTAACACTCAAAAAGCCAAACCAGTGTTAACCCTCTTCCTTTGTGCAACTTTCTCTGTGCAAAAGAATGCCACCTCTTCACTCTTGCAGCCATTGTGTCAGACTTTTAAGCCCCCTTTTCCATCACCTGGTACCAGCTCAAATCGACATGACTCAACTCTACTCGCTTTTGGTACCGGGTGCTTGGTTTTCCACTGCAGATGGTCCCATTGCTGTGTAGCTGCTTGTCATAGCGACACCGCATTACACTGCTGTGATGTCATCTGACAGTGTAAAATCTTAGTTAATACATCTTTAAATTTATGTGAAAAATCCTCCTGCAGCTCCTAACAACACACTGCAAAGTTCTGCCACATTACACATAAACATACTACAGAGACAATTTAGTTTCACTGTTTTTGAAAACTGATTTGCTGCACATTTACATTTAACTCTACAACAAACTCTAAAACAACATTTTTATTTCCTAAATCAAAACTTTTGTGGATTATTTTTTGATATAATGTCAAGTAAAGACTGTAGATTCCCTTTCCATTTGCACATAAGTGAACCTAAACTGGTTTTGCTCAGTAACCTTGACATGGCTGTTTTCCTTTATGCTTAGTATAATGTACTACATCCACTCCACTTCCCGCCATTTGACAGGAACTTGAATCATTTAGCTTCTTTGATGTAAACCACTGCTCAGCATTTTGTGACATTTGAGAGTAGAGCTACAACAGCTAAAATAAGCCAAAAATGGTCTACAGCATCTTTGTTGAACTTCTATCATTCAGTGTCTCCTATCTGAGGACTTGCTGCTTCTCTGTTTTCTCTCAGTTCACTGTGGCTTAAATATTTGGGTTTTGGACCGTCTCCGATGGATTAAATCTGACTTGTTGGTCTCACTAACCTGAGTCAACGCTGTGTTACTGGTCTCACTGACCTGGGATCACGCTGTAGCTGGAGTGTTGTTCTTGAATACTCTTATAGGACTGTAGGTACAGGGTGTTTTCTTGGTTTGTTCCAGGCTGCACTGGGACACTGGGACCAGGAACCAATCTGATCTTCAGAGGTCTAGACTGTCCCGCTCTTTCTCGTCCATGACCTGTAACACATGGTCATATCAATTTTCTTCTACATCTGTCTAGAAACCTCTAAAGACCTACAGATATACAACGCTATGTCTGGATTTTAGGAAAAGTCTGTTTATCAGTTTATAGATATGGTTTGTCCCAGATTTGACCTATGCCTGTTTGTTCTCTTTTTAGAGCCAAATAAAATATGTTTTAGCCATGTGAAGAGAGCCAGCTGTCTACAAGCCAGTTCTTGATCTTGCTGAATTCCTCACCTGTGTATACAACAAAGATGGCAATAACTCTAGCCTCAGAATGATTGAGATACAAACATTAAAAATGATAAAAGCTAAACTAAAATGTCTTTTGTTGACTAAAACTAACAAAAATCAAAAGACCAAAGATTTAAATAAAACTAATATGCAATTTAGTCAAAAGACTAAGACTAAATAAAATTCAAGTGCCAAAATTAACATTGTTTTCAGTTAATTTCAGTTTCAGCCAAAGTGGATTATGGACAAAGCAGATTCCATATTTTATATATTTAAAAAACTAGGGAACCAGAGACACTTTCCTGTAGGACTCCACATTTAATAAAGTGTGATCTTTTGTTGTTGTTTTTTTTCTAGTGTCTTTAGAGGTTTTTACACCAGACAAGATTGTGCATTGAGTTATGATCACCAGAAAAACATAAAACATTAGAACAGAGTTCAAACCTGGCAACCGCTGTATCAGTTTAAGGCTTTAGACGTGCTGCATACAAGCACTGTGCCCAACAGAGTTCCAACATTACATGCTACTACAGCCATAGTGTCTTCTTTATACATTTACTTTTTTGCACCTGTTCATTAAACAAGATATATCATGTAAATCAGAGAGCTTTAAAGTTGTTGCCAGGTGGAAAAAATTATTTATTTATTTCAGTTTTGATGGAGCCAGTCTCAATTTTGACACTTGATTTAGTTTTGGTGTTAGTCATTTGACAAGTTGAATTAATTTAGTCAAGTTCATCATCTTTTGTTTGTATCGTGTTAGTCAACAAAAACTATAGTCCAGTTTTTGTCAATGATATTTGATGATGCTAGCATTTTCCCCTGTTTCCAGTCTTTGTGCTAAGCTTGGCTAAATATATCCTGGCCCTATCTCTGTACTTAAAGCACAGCAAGGAGTGCCCAATGGCTTTTACAGAATTTTCTGTAATTTCTGAGTTTTTCTTAATGAATCAGTCGGTTGAAGTTAACCCAACAATCTGTAAGGCAGAAAACACCCTGTACCAGATAAGGAAAAACTTTCCAAAGAAACCCAAGAGCAACAGAAGAGGGGATCCCTCTTCCAGGGCTGACAGACATGCAATAGATTCAGGTTTACGGTGTGGACAATCAGAATGACAAAATTGTGGATTCTAAACTTATAGGTCTTAGAGGGTCTTACCCTGTCCGTCCCGCTTCCTTTTCCCTCGTCGGGTCTCGCCACCCTGGTTGTGAGGTCCCTTCCTAGCCTTGGCATCTGGGATGGTCAGGACCACCAGCAGCCACAGACTGGCCACTATTAGCCACCACCTCATCCCTGCAGCACAGCACAGACCAGGTTCAGGCTCATGTTGTCTCACATGAACTCTTACCAACACCGAAGGCTTCACAAGTGCTGAGTATTGATCCTGCTGTTGATACAGTTCTACCTAGGTATTGATCCCAAAGCAGCTTCTTTTTCAGCATCTTACCATGAGAATTATAAACATGTTTTTCCATAAAGTATTTTTTCATTCAAATAAAAAACCCAAAATTCTCACATGTTCTAAAAACAAGCAGCTGTGCAGTTTTGACATTTGCTATGTGCTATGGACACATTTCAGAATCAGAATCAGCTTTACTGGCCAGGTGCTGAACACATGAGCAGTTTGACTCCAGTACAGTGGCTCTTAATGTGCATGTACAATGTTCTTCCATAAGGCAACAAGTAAACAAGATAAGACTGAGAGAATGAGAAAAGAAAAAATGTGCATTAGGAAAATAAAAATAAAGTACTTGTATCTCCTCACCCTAAATTTATTGTAGAAGCCAGCAGCAAAAAGAAAATAGGACCAACTAGAAGAATCCACGTTCTTTCTGCACACACACAAAAAAAATAAACAGTGAGAGATGTTTTTACCTGCAGCAGCTTCTCAGACAAAAAGAGTTGTCAGTGCTGCTGCTGGTCCTCATATAGCTTTCTGCTAATGGCCAGTTTTGTGTGTGTGTGTGTGTGTGTGTGTGTGTGTGTGTTGGTTGTGTGTGTGTGTGTGTGTGTTAATAACCGGTCTACACTGCAGCCCTGTCATTATTAAAGCAGAGATCTGAAGCTAACACACACCTTCACACACCTGATAGTATGTCTTCTGCCTGATTTCCTCTCTGAATGGAGCAGATTGAACCGGCCTCAATAACAGTAATAAATGTACTGTATCTGTACCCCAGTGCATGATGGGAGTTGTTGGTGGTGTTAAATAATGGGAGCCTGTTATTTGTTAGCATGGTGCCCAGACAAGCCTGAGTGTCCAGATAGAAACATTTACTTTTTGTTAGTCTGAAGGACTGAAAGCTTCACTGTTAATTTACTGTTGCTGGTTTCTTATTCTGTCACTCGTAGATCTGACTCACTGACTGTATAAACAATGGACAAGCTCTCCATGACGTCATGCGTTGGTTTTCTGAAGAGTGGTTTTGAAGCTCAACTCTGACTGCTGCCATATTGGTAGTGCTTCACTCCGCCTGCTACGGCTAATCCAAAAATGGGCAAAGAGGCAGAGTGTGAGTGGAGCTGAGGTGGGCTGAATGGGCAGAATCAAGCTAGCCACCAGTGACGGGACCCGCCCTTAATTATGCATAGCTTTTAATCTCAATATAATTTAAATGGCCGAGTTATATAAAAATTGACCCCCTCTCATACAGTTGTCATGGAAGGGGAATTGAGCTATAGAGACTAAAACCGTTTTATATACCAGGCTGTAAACATGTTTATTTCTGCTGTAAAGTTTTTACATAGGAGTGTATGGTGAATGATTCCCTTTAGGAGCCTGCCTCAAGTGGCCATTCGAGGAACTGCAGGTTTTGCCACTTCTGCACTGGCATTGAGAGCCGATGTACCAGAGTCAAATTCCTCGTGTGGCCTACACACCTGGCCAATAAAGCTGATTCTGATTCATTTCTCAGCTTCAGAGATTGGCTCATGATCTGAACCTACCAACTCTGAATCTCTGTCTCTGAACATAGTCACTCTCTTGTTCACTCATTTACTTCTGCCTTTATAAGGGAGCGGTTTACCTTATTGTGAGAAGTAAAATGAGATTTTGGACACTTCTGATTAATTGTGAGTTTGTGTTACCAGTGTAATTCATGGTAACTCATCTATAAAATGTGAGACTTTTTCACAGCACCATTTATTGCACTCAGAATTGGGATGCTGAAATGAAATGGGACAATGAGGGCAAATATAGTGCACTATATTGTCAATGGGGAGAGATTTCATATGGTGCTTGAGTCTGGATTTTATCTGGATAAGATGAAATAGTTAAAGGAATATTTACTATAGCACTCAATATTAAAATCGGAACCTTAAAAATTTTAAACCCTGATTTGTTAGCATTCAACTGCGGCTCCTGTTAAGATTTTCCAGAGCAGCAGAGGGTATACAAGATCACATGGTGCAATAAATGGGTCTCCCTCATCCATGATGTCCACCCACTCTCTGTTAATCATTCACATCTTCAGTCTGCAGCTTCACAACACACAGCTCTGAGGTACTCCCACCTCAATTTAGCATCGGCCAATAGGGAACCACAATTCAGTGGTGACCAAAGACAGAGAGAGAGAGAGAGAGAGACCTCTGTGCTGAGACAGAGGAAAGAAGTCGGGGGGGAGGGGGGAGTGGAAAATATTCAGCAGTTCAGTTTCTGGATGAGCAGGCTCAGATGGAGAGATTTTCAGGAGAAACAACAGAGGAAAAAAATAGCCTATGTAGGGTAATGGAACCCAGATACTGTTGAAGCAGAAGTTTTGTTCAGCTGCTTTGCTTCCTTACTTCAGTGGCTCACTCATTAAGTGGAACTGGGGAAATAGTTCGTACTCGCTTTTTGTTTCTAACGCCATTGTACGCAAATGACTTCATGTTGTCTCACACGGCAACTTTTTCAAGACATGTTTGTTTTAATTCTCAGTAGCGAGCGCTCTGACACTGCACTTTTAGCCAGAAAATTACATTTTCTTCACATCAAGGATATGACTGGTTTGACTGCAGCTCTGTAATTGTGTCATTAGTTTAAAATGGTCTAAAATTGGTTTTAAAATGCCACAGTAGTCTCATGCTACTGGCTAAATTTCAGTGCACTCAAGGGACTTTTGCAGCAGGTAATGTTCTTGTACTTTAGTTCCTGGGAACAAAAAGCACCAGGAACATTCTGGTGGGCATGCACCTAGAGAAAGATAATTTAAAACAGGGCCACTTCTCATTTCCCTCACCACCACTGGTGCTCTTAAAGGAGAAAAAAAAAAACCCTATCAAAACATGAGTGGGACATGGCAGAAAAAAGTCCAGTTTAGACACTACAGTGGATGGTTGATGATAAAATGCCTTTAATAAAAATGGGCTAACACATTGTAAAATACATTGTGTATCAGCAGACTTGCCTTCCTCTGGATGTTTCTTGAGAAAGTTCGACAGTTTTCCTTGACAATTAGTTTGTTTTGAATTTGCCTCCTGTTGACTGACTTGTGAATTACTTCACCAGCTGGTTCAGCACTACAAATACCGAAACACATGTTGCATGCAGTTTAAAAACAACCAGTCCAGTGTGCGTTTTGTGGAGTACTGTACTGAAAGCAGGATGTGTACAGGCTTATATCTTGAAAGGTAAAGAATTTGATTCCTCGTCGTCCGTTCTGACTCAGGTCTTAGGCTGCATTTAAATACATGTCTTATCTGGGTTTGTTAAGTTCACAGTTCCAAACTTCTTGGGTTTTGTCTTCTGGACCTGTGAAAAATTATCTACACCGAAACCTTCTGCAGCAGCTGACACAACTGATTACAAATCACAAACAGCAGACAGACAGAGAGGGGAGGAGCTGAGGACGGACGGACGGACAGGCAGACAGACAATAACTCTACATTACCAGCAGTTTGATGATGGCTGCAGGACTTGAGGCCAAATTCTTCCACCCTCTTTTCTCCTCCTTTGGTTGTGCAGGAGGTCCAGGAGAGGTGTGTATGTGTTGCTGTGTGATGATACTCTAAATGTGTGCGTGTCTGTTTCTCAGCAGGTCTCAGAGCATGGAGCAGTTGCGTAGAGCAGCGTAGGAAAGCCAGGATTTGTACTGCAGCGGAGACAAAAAGAGGGAGTGAGAGAGAGAGACAGGTCTGACATGTGTCTTCCTGTCTGGGTGAGGACACTGCCAACATGCCGCAGGAGATCGAATAAAGACAAAGCACATCAACCGAAGTTAAATATCCACATGTTGCAGAGGGAAGAGGATAGAGCAGGAGATTTATTAACATGAGCTGAGAGATGAAAGCCAGGTTCATTTCTGTGGTGAAAATAAGTCTCAGGACAAGGTGAAGAGTTTATAGCAGCATGTAGGACAGGGGCCAGAGGTCACATGAGACCAAACATCCCACTTCATTGTCAAGTAGAAAAACAGCTCTCTGCTCAGCAACATGTTTAAATAAAACCCCAGAAAGCAGATTGAGGAAAAGACCTAGAGGCACAATGTGTATGTACAGTGTTCTTCTTCTGTAAGGCAACAAGTAAACAAGAAAAGACTGAGAGAACAAGAAAAAGGAATAGATAAGTATATTTACAAGGCACTGCACTGAGGGTTGTTGGGTTAATTGTTCATCAGAGTGATGGCCGGGGGAAGAAACTGTCCTTGTGTCTGGTTGTTGTGGCATAACGTGACCCGTAACGCCGTCCAACGGGGAGGGGTTCAAACCATTTGTGTCCAGGGTGTGAGGGGTCTGCACAAATCTTTTCTGCCCTCTCATGAGGTGTACAGGTCCTCCATGGAGGGCAGGCTGGTACCCATCATCTTTTCTGACTGTTCACTGGAGTCTGTTCCTGTCCTGTTTGGTTGCTGAGCCAAACCAGACAGTGATGGATGAGCAGGCTCGATGATTCCTCTGTAGAACTGGATCAGCAGTGTTTGATTTCATTCATGGAAAAATGACAACTGGAAACATGGAGGTGACTTTAAACTTCTGACTGGTAGTGCACAACTTCTGTTTGACAGTTTATTACTGATATATAAACTGTCAAACAGAAGAACAGTTGCCCCTGTCGGTATGTCAGGTCAGTGACCCAGACACTTCACATTTTAACAGTGCATCTTTGAGTGTTTACACATAATTATTTTACACCTGATGTGTCAGCTCTCTACCACAACATTCAGTCAATTCATGCAACAGAGCAGAAAAAAAATTATAAGACTACAAGTCCATTGAATTCAGTAATCTGATGCTATTTACAGGTGATTGTGTCTTGACTTTTCTGTTTGTTCTGCACAACTGATTTAATGTGAAACTGTATGTTTAACACTTAGAGCTCAAAGACGCCTGTCTCATTCTTACTGTAAAATAAAACAGCTGTTCACAACAAGTCATCTGAGTAGTTTGCAGCCAACCATCATCTGTATCGTTCATCTTGTAGAGGGCTGCACGGGGCTGTCGAGGCAGGGTACACCATGGACAGGTCGCCAGTCTATCACAGGGCTGACACGGAGACAGACAGACTAACACTCACACTCACAACTACAGGCAGTTTAGAGTCGCCAGTCAATCTAACCTGCATGTCTTTGGACAGTGAGAATAAACCTTACCCGCACAGGCATCGGGAGAACATGCAGACTCCACAAAGAAAGGCCCTGGTCGGGATTTTCTATCCTGCTATTGACAGGAACTTATAACATGTTTCACAGTTATAGAAATAAGCTGCTGTTACTATGACATCTGAAACCTCTCTGAAACCTCTCAGACACCTTAAAGGAAAGGAAAGACCTGATTCTAGTCTGGTCTGGACTCGTTTAGGGTGTAGAAATGTACAGTAACCTGGTTCTGATCACCGACAGCACAGCTGCAGATGCCTCTCAGCTGAGTCACTGGCACACACCCCCACCTGTCGGACATGAATCTAGTGGCTGAACTCTGGGTGAATCTTCTCACCCAGAGCTTTAAAATGAATCAGATTTAGAGTGATGCGGTCAGATTTTGCTCCAGAATCAACAAGTCATGTAAACTCGTTAAAAGGAATCATTTCCTTCAGACAAATGTTTGCTGCTGTTTCTGTGATCACTTCTCTGGG